AAAACAAAGCTATCACACGGTATTGCCTTGACCTTCGGACTCTTTTGCTTTATACGTCTTATTATAGTAGGTCTATTTTATAGATAGTCTAAAAATGATGTAGGCGTGACCTTTTTAAAATAAGCCAGAATTCAATTTAGTTGTTCTACCGACTCGTCGTTGTCAGCTCTTTAGGTATATGATTATATTATGACTCTCAATGAAAATTTAATCACGGATGCGTTCTATGTACACTAATATAATTCGTTCAAAGGCCCCGGTGGTTTAGTACACCGCGATACTTCCGATGGTCGCGGGTTCGATTCTTCGGATGCGCAAACATTTGTATTCATGAGTATGATTGTTTGTTTCGGTCCTGGTGTTTTCTATGTGTAATATGATATGTCTTAAATTTGAATTTAATAATGGATCTGTATAATTGTAAACGTGTAAACATTTATTTGATTAGATTAGAAGCTGGGATTTTTGTCAGTTCATCTCAAAATCATTCCGAACTGACGGTAGATTTAACATATCGTAAGACTTTGTAATAGACCTACAATAATAAAAATATTTTGAATTTAAATTTGATGTATTTACAAAAAAATGTAAGTATATGTCTTTGTATCAGTTACATAGTACCCATAACACAAGTTTTAGCTATCTTAACTTGGGTCTAGATAGCGTTATGTGAATTATCCTGAGATTATTATTATCCGATGCATGTATTTACATGCATGATTATATTCGTGTTACGAATGTGTTTACGAATATTTAATCATAAAAGTTAATGTTATTTCTGGCCGGAGACAACCTTACAAAATTTTCAACGTAATTTAATTAAGTTTGCAGACTGATATCTAAACATTTAGGTCTAAAGTACAAATCATGTGTAATTGATACCTTTGGATCGTATTACTTTTTACGAAACCTAAACATTACAGGTGCCAAATAACAGGTAAGCAAAGGCTACGGGTTCAATTCGGTTGCGAAAGAATATTTAAATTGTTAAATATTTTTACACATTATACATAATATGTTAATACATATCATCACAAAAAACAATCATTGTAATGCAACGCGGTACATCAAGGCAGCGTACCCAAGATACTGGCAGCGTTGCCTCTTTGAATGGCCATACTTAGCCTTTAGGCAAAGTAGCTACCAGCTCTCAGGTCACAAGTATCCTCGATGAGCCGCGCTGAAATATATGTCAAAAACAATTTGGCTTTCTGGCTCCATGGGCTCAACGTCTCTACGGTAAATGGCGAAACCCAATACGACATCTCCAGATTCGTGTATATTCCTCTTTTTAAAATTGCCACCTGTGTTACTGCCATGCAGGACAAGAGGACGATCCAGACACATAACTGCCAATGTATCCACACACGTGGCATCCCATACTAAACATTTCATAAGTTTCAACGGGACGAGAGTCATACCGTCATGTCGTTTACGGACAATGCCACTAGGCTCTAGTACTGCCGGTATTTGAGCCGTCGCCAATGCTTTATCTATAATAGTGTTGATCATGGAATGACGAGGTATTGGACCAGCAGTTTTCAAGCAAGAGGGTCTCTGTTTCACTCATTCATTTATAAACTTAAGAGTAACGCTCTTATCGGTGCTCTTGCCACTCTCTACGATCTTCCATCTTACTCTTTAAGCCTTGATACGACACGACTCCAATTCTGTCTTTAATTTGTTTATTGTTGTTGTGTCTTGGTCTTCCTCTCCCACTCTTTCCTTCTTTCTTTCCCTCAATAATTAGTTTCAAAAATTCATCGTGCCGTATCAAGTGTTCTAACATTTTTCCTCATCTACTTTCTATAGCATTCAATATCTGCCTTTTTTCTTGCACTCTTTGCAATACTTATTCATTTCTTACTAATTCTTTTCATTATTCTCCAGCACCACATTAGAGACACAAGAGAGACCATGTTGTCCTAATTCAACAACAGTAGCACCACAGTTACAGTGATAAGGCTGATTTAGTTTATCACCCAGCCACAAACCTGAATCTGAATAGCGTGAAATGTTAATATTATAAAATACAAAATCATTTATTCAAATAAACTTACATTAAAGCACTTTTGAATAGTCATCATTTTTTTTTAATCTACCGCTCATTCGGAAACCTGTCTCATAACAAGAAGAACGAGCAGGAAACATGCGTGTTGCTCTTTTAAACAATTTTATTGTTACTTTACATTTTAAGTTGAAGTGTGTGAATACAAACTACCAATTAGCACTAATTCAATTAAGTACTCATTAGTTGCTTTATGCTATAGACAAAGTTTCATCGAGTTTAATGGATGTAGCACATATTGTATGGAGTGGTCGGGCTATGCAACCTTAAGTAATAATCCGCTTAGTAATGCAATTGATGCCACACCATATTGAGTTCATTAATCTTTCGGTACAATTGAAATAATCTAATTAAAATCGTGTCTTAGGGCTCCATGCTCGGTGTTCGTGCACTGCGTGTTAATTAGATATTAATTAACAGCACACGTATGGTAGAGTTATCTGCCATCTACCCACTGTTAGGGTTCACAACGATATTGTAGAAAAATCCGATATTTTAAAAGTATTAAAAGATGGCAGTTTCATTAATACTCGGTATTGTAAAAGTAGTTGCGTATAACCCACGCATCTCTGTTCATATAAGAGGAGACACAAAGCTGAGTGGAAACCAATTTGACCGCAGTTGTATTTTTTTTTTAAATAATTAATTATATATTTTTTGTAATTAGTTGTATAAATGTTTTGTATGCGTCAAAAAATATCTTTTTCTTTATTAAATTACAAATGATTATATTTCTCTTTCTTTTTTTCTAAGTAGTCCTCTAAAATTACAAATAATTATATTTATCTTTCTTTTTTTCTAAGTAGTCGTCTAAAATTAGAAATAATTATATTTCTCTTTCCTTCATACTAAATAGTCGTCTAAAATAACAATAAGTACAGAAACATAAATTTAAAATGTATTATATGATATGGAAAAGTAATAAAAGTATGTATTATAAAATATAATTGGAAATATATTGCAATATGCAATAATACACCAAGCCATAGCGAATGATATAGGTCACGTTTTGTAATTGAAAATATCTATATATATTGATTGAGTAAGTTACAAAAGCAGATGTTCAAATATTACATTTATTGATAATTACAAATATGCAAGCATCGAATTTGGCTTTATTTCTATTTAGTTTTAAGTTTAAATTACATTTTACTATTATAGAAAATTAATTGAAATCAGTTTCACGGACCTGTACAATATATATAATTAGAGTCTAAGAGGATATTTATTTATGGGGTCTAATGTTCCTATTGCTAGCAATGTACAATGTACCGTGTTAGGTAGACCTCCAATCGGTTCACCATGGAAACCATCGTAGTTAATTCCTGGTCATTTAATCATTATGGGAAAATGACCTGACCTCAAGCTCATCCTATCACCCTCCACTGGTGCCCCGCCAGCGTAAACCGTTAGCGCAGGCGGGTGCACCATTATTATCATTCATGAAAGAAAAAAAGTATTATTTTATACTCGTTAACCAGTGCTGCTTATTGGGACTGGTCTGCTTTAATCACTACGACTGATAATGTATTTAATATTTGAACCTAATAAATTAGTGCCTATTGATCGTTTGTATTCAAGTTTCGACTTAAAAGTAAAGTTACATCATCATCTGCTTCTTCCTTATCCCATTTATTTGTGGTCGTCGTAATATGTTTTTCGTTTCCATTCATCCCTGTTCGCAGTCATCGCGTTATTTACTTCCTTTCTTACCATATCCTCTTTCACACAGTCCATCCATCTCTTTTTCGGCCTTCCTCTACCCTTATAACCATCCACATTCATATGTAACACCTTTCTTAAAATATTATACTCGTTCCTACGCATTACATGTCCATACCATGATAGACGATTACTCTTCAACCTCTCTGACACCGGTGCCACTTTCATACTTCCTCTAATGTATTCATTCTTTATCTTATCCATTCTTGTCACACCACACATCCACCTCAACATTCTCATTTCAGTTGCATGCAGTCGTCTTTCATCCGTCGCCTTTAAAGTAAAGTTACAATGGCTATTTAAAAGTGTAACACGCAAATTTCTTGCTCATTCTTCTTGTGATTAAGCATTCAGATTAAAAAAATTGTGATGACTATTTAAAAGTACTTGTAATGAGTTTATTTAAAAAGTTAAAAGCATTCCATACATTCATTCTCCAATCTTTTAATACTCTAGTGTAGCCAACAAACAGGTTCCTCCCGAAAATATGCAAAGTTTGAATAAAGTTTGTAGCAAGAAACTATGAAACGCTGTGAACTATTGTTTATTTACTAGCAGTATCTATTAAATTAACAATAACTATCTAGTATATGAACAATATTTCGTAGTAGGTAATAGTAATATAAAGGCGTTACATATGAACATTATCTTATATATATAATTCTCGTGTTACAATGTTAGTTACTATAACGGTCTTTGAATAGTCCTCTGAAACGGCTTGATCGATTTTTATGAAATTTTATATGCATATTCAGTAGGTCCGAGAATCGGCTGCTATCTATTTTTCCTACCCCTAAGGGATAAGGGTTGTCCACCTCTAACATTATATCTTTATTTTTTGGGAAAAATTATTTATATTTTTTTATTATGTATCATTAAAAAATACATACAACTTTGAATTTTTAGCCTTTTATCACCAACCTGTATTTTTTATAGCGTTATTAATTTATATGGCGAAACAACGTTTGCAGGGACAGCTAGTATTGTATAAACTAGACTTGTGAATGCATACAATAATAATACGTGAATACTTTATAAATATGTACTTTCCGTGATAATGGTGCGAAACTTTTAATTGACCTTATTTTTAAGAACATACTATTAATTATTATTCATATTTCGCTGTTGATTTTCAAAATAAATAAAAAAAAGGATTTTCTATTCTATTCTATTAAATAACTGCATCTAAAATCATAATTATCATCAACAGGAGCTCACCTGAGACGGGCGGCCTCCCAGGAAGCGGAGAAGCGGCGCTCATCGCTAGGCCACGTGCCTACAATACGGCATCGAGCTTCGGATGCCTTCCTCGACCCTCATCACGCCGCAATCCTCTTTAGGGATTCCAGAGGAGTAAGTTAAACCTGTTTTCTTTATAAGTAACTAAAGTAGATATAGTAACTTCGCACTGGTGTACATGTATTATACATATAAACCTACTTCTTGAATCAGTCTATCTGTTAAAAAAAACGCTTCAAAATCAGTTGCGTAGTTTTAAAGATTTAAGCATTTTTTACCTGTGTAAGCGACAGACAGACAGCGATAGCGACTGTTTTATACGATGTAGTGATTGCAACTTTCGTAACAGACTTGATGTATAAATCAAATCCAATAGATAAGATAGGACCAGAATAGTCTTCATTTGAATAAACTTGTTGATAGTGATAAGCGTAGTATTTTCTAGTTTTTAGAATCGTCGCTGAATAAAATTTCACTGCGAACTCAAATTCACTTCAAAGATTTTCGCAAAATATCCCGTTTAAAAGTTCACGTAGTGCATTAAAGAGCATGCTAGCGTATAACTGCGAGTGAACTGGAAAATATGAAAGTTCACAATAATTTTGAAGTCGTACAACGTTCTTTAATAAATATAACGGGCGAGTCAAATGGGCTAAGCTATTGAAATCTTTTATTATACTAGCTGCTCCGCAAACATTGTTTTGCGATATCAATTAAATTCGCTATTAAAAATTATTATTTATGCTAGAAAGGTGAAAATTTAGGGTTTTAATTTTTTAAATACCATGTATATAAATATAGTGCGCCGACCCCAAATAATGGGATAAAGGCAAGGCAATGATGATGATTATATAAATATAGTTTTGCCCAAAAAACAAAATGTTAGGGGTAGACAACTCTTGTCACTTAGGGGTATGAAAAATAGATAGTAGCCGACTTTTAGACCTATTGAATATGCATATAAAATTTCATAAAACCGATTTTTATGAAATTTTATATGCAAACCTTTTCGGAGGGGTCTGGTAACTAATATTGTGACACGAGAATTTTATATATAAGATTATGTGTATGGAAGATTACATTGTAATCATTGCATAACTACAAATTTATACTAAAATTAGCTATCCCGGCAAACGTTGTTTTGCCATATACATTAATAACGCTATAAAATATAGGGGTTGGTGATAGATAGATGCGTGAAAATTTATGATTGTATGTATTTTTAATGACACATAATAAAATAAAATAAATAAAAATGTATCCCAAAATTAAAAAAATAATGTTAGGGGTGGACAACCCTTATCACTTAGGGGTATGAAAAATAGATAGTAGCCGACTCTTAGACCTATTGAATATGCATATAAAATTTCATAAAAATCGGTCAAACCGTTTCGGAGGGGTATGGTAACTAACATTGTGACACGAGAATTTTATATATAAGATTATGTGTATGGAAGATTGCATTGTAATCATTGCATAACTACAAATTTATACTAAAATTATAAATATGAATGTGTGTCAGTCTATCTGTCTACTTGTTATCTTTAGTATAAATAGCTAAAGTTGCAAGTAAGAATATTTTTGCCTGCAATACATCCAAACTCCTGCGTAGATTTTAGTCTTCTATGGCGACTTCATTCGTGTAGTACGGTGGTAGTTCTGAATATTTCTCTTGGTACGGTATAGTATTTATGTTTGTAATTTTTTGTCTGTATATACCAGACAACAGACAGACACAGCTATATCAAGCAAGTTAAAGAAAAAGTTGGAGTCGTGTCGTATCAACAGCTAAAGGGACTGATAGAAGATCGTGGAAGGTGGCGGGAGCTCCACCGACAAGAGCACAGCTCTTAAATTATGAATGAATACCAGACAGTACCCTCAGATAATATAATAATTATTTTTTTACTGAACCTTTTTCAATTAAACACACTGCACATTTTTTGCTGTTAGTTTCAATATTTGCGTATTTAACAAATAAAAAGAGTATTTAGTTACGAATGGCTACATATAATAGAATGTCTACTATACTAGATATAATGATATATATGTACAATATACATTTTTAAGAAGGGTATATTAAGGTTTCTTAAGGGTCGGCAACGTGCACGTGATATCTCTAGTGTTTCAGGCGTTCATAGGTTACGGTAACCATTTACCATCTGATGTATGCTTGATTGCCACCATCGTAGAATAAAAAAAAAAGGTTCGCCCAATACTTCGTCCTGCAGTGTTATTTTTAGTTGTCACTGTATAATAGCAATGTACATCACTGCGAGTTTCTCGTGGGAATTGTAACAATTTCACAGCTCAACAAATGCCCTTCTTCACAAAACAAACTGCGTCAAATAATAGTCAACATGTAGACTTTCTCATGTGTACACTGACTGACCCAATTCTGTTTATTGTTCGTCAGTGTGACTCTTATATACGTTCTCCCCTATGACTAATTTAAAACCGATCATTTAAACTGGTATTCTATCCGGCAAAACTACAGTGTACCAATCACAAACAATTACATGTTTTTTATTAAGTATATTGGAGCAACTCGCTTTGTTAGCTCTATACACTTTAGCAGGATTTCGTTAAAAGAACATGTGGTGTGACTAATAATCACTTTGTTTGTTTTAGTTGCCGGTTGCAGATCCATTTTTGGAAAAAGTTAATCTGTCTGATTTGGGTAAGTAACTTAAATATTTGATTAATATCATTTTAAAGAATGGTATGTTAAGATTTTTTATGCTACGTTTACATTCAACCGTTTCTCCTGCCACTCGCGCTGCTGGATATATTGCCGGGCGACAACTGAGCGAGAGGGCTGAATGTAAACACACGCTGCCACTCGCGCTGCCAGTCCTTAGACTGGCGCACGAAAAACCGACAATCGAGGGAGCGCCTGGCAGCGCGAGTGGCAGCGCCAATGGCATGGGAAGTATCGTGCTTACATTTTCGCGCTGCTCACTTTCCTGCCCACTCGAGCTGAGTGTAAATTGGGCTTTAAGGGTCGGCAACGCACACGTGATACCCCTAGTGTTTTGGGCGTCTATAGGCTACAGTAACCGTTTACCACCAGTTGAAGCGTATGATTGTTTACTACAATCGTAGTATAAAAAAAAGTGAACGTTGTTTCGAGGGATACAAACAAGCTTTTAGCAATTCCCCATTATTACAGAGAAAGCAGCAGATTTTTTTGTATTTGTCATATTATTTTAATAGTTAAGTTTAATAACTATAACATTTTATTGATCAACATAATACTTTCCGATATTATCATGATAATTGCTTTTTTAAATTTATTTTTATAGATAGTGAAGCGGAGGTATCTATAGTGTCTGATGAGTGAGAGGTGCTGAGAGTTTTAATAAGGAAAATACAGAGATAAAATAAAATGCGACTAATATGACAGCGATATATAATAGAAGGATAACAATAAAGAATATGTCAAAGAATATTATTATAAAATTTAAATATAGTATAAAAACTTATCAAGGAGGTCGCTACAGATACATGTACATTTTTTAATCTATTTTTACGGTTATCTATGGCATCGTACATCTTTATATGTAGAAGACATGTTTTCTAAATGTACGAATTAGGATCAGTATGGTAAATTAGCAACCGAATAGACGTATACTTATATACAACGCCGTCTGAGGCAATTTCTTATCCCGACAACACTAGACAATTTAAAGGTAATCAGGATCAGACTGCAGCTAACCTCCCTACGGTTCCACCCGTTTCCTCCCTACCACGTTTTCACACACGACACCGTCCTCGCCGGCGAAGACGACGACCTCAACCACATTATGCCACGCCAGTTACATAGAATATTAAAATGATTGTATAAAATTGAAAAGATTTAGGTCACTATCTAATCTTTTACAATTTTTATAACAACCTCTAATGCTCCGGAAATAAATAAATTTTTCACTATAAAAGTAAATTGCCATTGCCACTTTTAGCATATAGTAGTATAATACACCGGCCTCGGTGGTCTAGTGGTTTAGCACACCGACTTACTTCCGATGGTCGCGGGTTCGATTCCCCGCACGGCACAAACATTTGTATTTATGAGTATGATTGTTTGTGTCGGTCTGGGTATTTTCTATGTATAATATGTACGTATTTATGAAAAAAAAATATCTATGTATTTGTATCAGTTATCTAGTACCCATAACACAAGCTTTAGCTAGCTTAACTTTGGTCTAGATGGCGCTGTGTGAATTGTTCTGATATTATTATTATTATTATTATAATGATATAGATCCATGGAAGGCACTTCCATTTGATTTCTATTTAATTCTTTTGAAGTTATTCCGCAGGTCTTATGTAAGTTATTACCATATTATGAAGGAAGTAAACTACCATACCTCGTAATCTTGTTTATTTAACGATTTTTTATGTCTACTTGCTCTTACTTCTTATCTCAGTAACTGAAATTCCATTTATAGCGTTGCTCTTATTGGTTGCTTTATATCGGTGTTTATCGATAACACGATAACTCCGCAAAATTTACTTGTAACGTATTGTTTATAATGTGTTTAGTTTTGTTTTCTAATATATAAATGGAAGTAGTTTTTGTTAACAAGCGTTTTGTGACTAACTATATAGCCTGCAACAGGTATGAAGCAGCTCAGATGTATCAGTATAACGTTCAAGGAGTCGATTTACGAATTCAGGAACCTTGCCCGGAGATGGCCCATGCAGGTGTACTTTTTATGTGGATATACGGATTACATTTATAACTTGACATGTAGTACATGTGTAATACATGTACTACATGTATATGTAGAACATGTATTATATATATAAACTCACACTCTTGAATCACTCTGTCTATTAGAAATAATCGATTCAAAATCCGTTGCGTAGTTTTAAAGATTTAATATATACATATATAGGGACAGAAAAATGTGTGTGTGTAATTAAGTCCGGGAGGACTTGTGGAATATATAAAAATAAAACTTTTTTCACCGTCCATTCTCAATAATATTTATGAGCTGCCTCTTTTCTTACGATCTCTTTGTAGGTATGTTTAAAAGGTTTTGAGTTATATGAATAATGTCCTATTTAATTACTTTATATGATTGTGTCATTAAGTACTATGAGTGATCGGTTCAAAAGTTATATTTCTATAGAATGACTAGCTATACTCGCGACTTCGTCCGTTTGGAATTTAACTTTATTTTAATATAAAAGTCCCGTCAAAATCGGTCCAGCCATTTCAGAGTTCAAACAGAGAGCTGGGACAGATAGACAAAAATTGAACAAAATGTTATTTTGGTGTATATATTTGTATTCATAAGCATTTACTACATGCTTATGTAGTAAATGCTCATGCAAACGGTTATTTCAGTATTACAGACAGACACAATTTTATTTATATGTATAGATGTTATTTACTAATATTGCTTATAAATTCTGCTGATAATGTATAATAATGAGATGCCACGTTCCTGTGTTTATTAATAATGAACATAATAATCGGAATAACTATGATGCATAGGCGTTCAAAACAAAATTAATTAATAAGCTACTGTGCGACCGAGTTTCTTTTGAAACCGTGTATTCAGGAAAATATGCGAATACTAGCTACTCGCCCCGGCTTCGCACGGGTGTACATGTATTATATATAGATACCTTCCTCTTTAATCACTCTATCTATTAAAAAAAATCAAAATCCGATGCTTAGTTTTAAAGATTTAACCATACGTGTATATGTATGGTTAAATCTTTAAAACTAAGCAGCTATGTGGTAGGATTTCCATCCCTAAATATATATTTTTTAGTTTTTCGACATAATATTTTATTATTTCGAAAAAATAAAAAAAATATTTTCATTTTATTATAATTTAGGATTGAAAAATACATATAACTCTAAATATGGTTAAACAACGTTTGCCGGGACAGCTAGTAATGTATAATATATATGTAGTATCACATAATATTGATCTTCAAAAATTATTTCTTAATGTCATAAGTGGAATGTACTGTTGTACTAGGTTTGCTTTGTACACCTAAATATTCAGTTAGTGAGGTTGAAAACATTTACTCAAGTGACTGAATTAAAAACGCAAAATAAATGAATGTAGTGAGTGGATATAAGAAACAATAATGATGTTTTTTTAAGGAGGTATCCATTGGATACCCACTGTATAGAGACAGCAAAATCTCGATGCAAGACTAGTTGATTATATTCTTGTTATACAAATAAATAGCCAAGTATATATTTGTTTTATCTTAATCTTATATATAAAATTCTCGTGTCACAGTTTTCGTTCCCATACTCCTCCGAAACGGCTTAACCGATTCTCATGAAATTTTGTGAGCGTATTAAGTAGGTCTTAGAATCAGCCAATATCTATTTTTATCCCCCTAAATGTTAGGGGCAGTCCACCCCTAAATTTTTATTTTTTATTTTAAGGCAAAACAACGTTTGCCGGGACAGCTAGTAATCTATAAACGCGAAAGTTTGTGAGTATGGTTGGTTTGTTACTCTTTCACGCAAAAACTACTGAACGGATTTTCATAAAACTTTACAGCTTAGACATCAGACAACATATAGGCTATAAATTTGCGGGTGAAACCGTGGACACAGCCAGTATATAATATTTCGTTTGTTTGTTTGTAACACTTTATTGCATAATAAATAAATTTAAATTAACTAAAGATACAACGATCTTAAAAAAAAAAGTTTTGTAAAATACGATTCTACGAAATAAAAAATATTTTTATATTTCGTAGTTGGAAGTAGCGATTAAATTGCACCTTTAGATAATGTTTAATAACAACAAATTCTATATTAATTATAATTGTATGTAAATATTGTAAAATTTCTGTAAAAACGTGAATTTATGTGTATATTGTAAGGGTAGAATGCGCAGCGGCAGTAAATATAGTGAAATAAAAAAGTAAAATATATATATATGGTAAAAGTAACAAGGCTCACATACGGTATGTCAATAGAAAATCTTACGAACAATAGAAGATATTTTCTTTATATAAAATTCAAATTATCTTCTACCAATAACAGCCAGATACAAATTTAAGTTTCAACATATATAGGTAGATAAGTAATTTAAAAATAACTGAGCCATATGCCAACAAACTGTTCTGCAGTTTGGCGAGTCAATGTATAAATATATATATATATATATATATATATATATACATACAAAAGAGACCCTTAGTTTTGTTAAAGGCCACGTGTATGGCAATAGTAAAACAGTGTTAATACTAGAAGTCGGTAACCTTCTTCCATTTATTGATTCAAACGTCACAATAACTTCTAAACTAACTTCATTTGAAACAAATTGTCTCTGTCAGTAGTAAGTACCAGTACCGGTTTAGTATTACGGTAACATAAGAATTTTATTTAATTAAAATGTGCATAAATAATAAATATATATATAGACTTATGTTAATGCAATTCCAAAGCATGGTGCAAGTCGTGGCAAATCCAATAATAGCCACAGCATAATAATAACGCAATTAATCTCACACATTGTTATGTGTATATAAAAAGAATAATAAATAGTGTGTATACAACACTATTTAGTATTCTTTTTTTTTTATTGGAACTAAAAACAAAAAAAATTATAATATTTTGCAAAGTAGGGTAGTGTAACGATAACAGCCACATTTGTCGTGGCCGTCAACGCCCACCTCCTTAGGACAGAG